TCTACTCTTTGTTTCTTTTGTTTCTACGATGCCATCTATATCTAACTATAGTGCATACTAACATGTATATGTGGAGTGTTTTCAATGTTTCGACCTCTTCTATGTCGACGTGTGTCGTCTCTTGAGATTCATGCAGGGTTCAGACCCGCCGAACAACGGGTCCCACTGTTTCCTCGTAAGCAGTGGTCCTTGGCAGATTTTCAACACTCCCCTAACCCTGATGATTGTGTGACGCGTTGTCTTGATGTTTGTTGGTTGTGTTTTTGGTTGACAGTTCACTTGACGGTCCACTTGACGGTGGATGTTGATTGGCCGTTTTGGGGGCGTTCTTCCGCTGATTTGGTTGTTTGTTTTCTAACGGGGATTGCTCGACCATTGTCCAGTTTGTGAACTTCAGGACTGCGTGTTTGGTCGCGGTCTTAGTCAAGGAGTTGGCGACCATGTCGGCTGTTGGCACGAACTTCAAGGTCACGGTGCCGCTGCGGACGAGCTCGCGAAGGTAGTGGTGTCGAACGTCAATGTGTTTCGTCCTCTCATTGATTGCTGTAGAGTTGGTTGTGGTGATTGCCGACATGTTGTCGCAATGCAGGGTCGTTCGTTCTTGGGTTGTGCCCAAGTCGGCCAAGAGTCCCTTGAGCCAAGTCGATTCGCGGGCGGCTTCAGCGGCGGTGATCTATTCGGCTTCACAGCTGAATAGGACAGTGATGCGTTGGCGCACGCTCTTCCACATGAGCATGCCGCCGAGGAACATCCAGCAGAAGCCCGTCGTCGATCGTCGGTCCGGTCGCGTGGCCCAGCTTGCGTCGCAGTAACCGGTAAGTGTTTGTTCTCCGTGGCCGAATTGGATGCCATAGTTTCGTGTGCCTGATATGTAGCGTAGTACGCGTTTGGCGCCGATGAGGTACGGCGTTTTTGGGGCGTGCAAGCGGCAAGACAGGCGTTTGACGGCGTGCGCAATGTCGGGATGAGTGCATATCATGAGGTAAACTAGCGATCCTATGATAGCTCGGTACTCCCCTTGATCGACGCTTGGTTGGGTCTCGTCGTACCATAGGTCTTCTTGTTCTTGGACTTCGGGGGGTGGTCACAGGGTGGCACGATGCCATGTTGAAGCGTTTGAGGACTTTGGTGGTGTACGCGTCTTGGTCCATGACCAGTGTACCTTTGTTGATATTGCGTGTGATTCGTATGCCAAGCATGTAATGCAGCGGGCCTTGGCGCTTCAGGTTCATCTTCGATGAGAGTTGGTTCATGATGTTGTTCATCCGCTCTTGTGTAGGTGCTGCCACTATGAAGTGGTCCACGTAGGTCCCCATGATCTCGAGGTCGACATCCTCGTTGCGGGTGAAGACGCAGGGGCTTTGGCGCCATCCGAGATCGGCGATCTGATTCTTCCAGTGGACTTCCCATTCGTGACCGCTTTGGTTGAGTCCATATAGGGCCATCTGGACCAGCGCGGCTTGACCAGGTGCGGTCATATGTCCTTCGGGCTCTGTTGCCCATATTGGGTGCTCTAATCTTGCTTGGATGTAGGCGTTGACGGCGTCTGCATGTTCGATGACCAGGTTGCGGGCGGTGGCGACGGCGCAGATCGCTCGGACTGACCTCATCTTGATGATGTTGGACGACGATTCGTCGTAGTCAACGCCTGCGATCTGGTTGAAGCCTTTTAGAACTCATCGTGCTTTCCAGCGGATGACGTTTCCTTCTGCGTCGGTCTTGCGCGCGTACGTCCAGCGGCCGCCGATGACTTTACGGTCGTGTGGGGGGTTGCCGATGGTCCAGCATTTGAGTTTGGTCAGTTGGGCTACTTCGGCATCCTCAGCTTCTTTCCAATGACGCCACTCGGGCGACGCCATCGCTTCCTTGTGGCAGTTGGGGATGGGAAAGAGGTGGACGGGGACAGCGGCATATCATAGTCTGTTCCGTCGACGGGGTAAGTGCTGTTGTTTTCTCCTTGTTGGGTGCCTCTAAGTCGGATTAGTAGCCTTTCAGTGGAGTGTCCAGTGGCTGCAGTGAGGAGAAGACGGCGTACTTGGGGTTTCGTTTGTGGAGGCGGCTGGAGATCCGAGGTGCTTGACTGGCCGGTGAGCCAGTCGTTGGTGTCTCTGCTGGTGTGTTGTTGTTGTCCGGGGGGTACATGTTCCCCATGCGGATGGCATCGTTGGCTCTGTCCTGGATTGATCGAAGGTTCTTGAAATGAGATCGGGTATTGTTCTTGAAGGTCGCTTGGCTCTCAGCGAAGGATCTGTTAGGTGACGGTGTCATCCATGGGTAGTCTGCTGCGGGGTTTAATGGCGCGCCGTAGTCGCGGTCGGGGTCGGGGGTGTTCGCGGTATTGGCGCGGCGGGCGGTCGTAGGTGTTGCTGGTGGCATGAGCGTTTCGACGGCGCTATCTATGGCACTGCGTACCGTGTTGATTGTGTTCGTGGCGTGGCGGAGGGCTGACTGTACGATGGACTGCGGCGTCGTTGGCTGCGTGGTCGGCCACGGTGGTGTGTCACCGTCGGAGTCGTCATTCTCCAGCGAATCAGGTAAGTCGGGTTCGCTAAAGAACTCGGTTTCCATAATTTTGACGTGCACACCGTGAGTCGTGCAGTTGTTTTCGACATCATATAATTTGTATGCCTTGATGTTTTCCTTGTAGCCGATCATGATGCATATGATTGCTTTGGGCGCTGGCATGTTGCGTCGTTCCGGGACTTTGACCATGTTAAAACATTTGCACCCGAACACGCGCATGTTGGCCAGTGTGGGTATGTGGCCGCTGAACATCTCGATGGGTGTATGTGGTTGTGTATAGGATGCGGTTACATATGAATGTGGCTGTGTTAACCGCTTCGGCCCACCAGCGGCGTGACATGTGGGCGTGGGTGAGCATGGCGATCGCCATCTCCATCAAGGTGCGGTGGGTTCGTTCAGCCACCCCATTTTTCCATTGATTATCGGCGGCTGACATCTCGTGTTTGAATTCCTTTTGTAGGTGAATTCGGGGCCGGCGTCGGCGCGAAGGATTTTGACGGCGCAGCCTGTTTGACGCTCGGACCAGGCCACGATGCTGATGAAGTTGGTCATCTGAGTGGTGGCGTCCGTGGATTTAACGAAGCGGACGACTTTGCATCCTGTGTGGTCGTCGACGTATACGGTATAGTATTTGCATCCTCCATTTGACATCGTAGGGAGTGGGCCCTTCGTGTCGGCATGCCAGCACTCCCCTGGTTCGAATGTCCTCGAGTGCGTCTTGGGTGCGCTGACACGGTGCATTTTGGTGCGGGGGCAGTCCATGCATGGTCGCGCGGGGGCCTGTATCTGCGTTGGCAAGCCGAGGCCCATTTTGGCACATGATCGAAGGGTCTCTACGGATAAGTGCCCAATCCGGTGATGCCAAAGTGTGACCACGTCCGTTGCATTTGTTTGGGCCGCATTGGCGTGGTCAGTGGTGCATGTTCCCTAAAGGATGTAGAGCCGGCGATCCGATGGCATGTCGGCGACTGCGATCAGCTCCTTCCCAAGGTAAATCGAGCATGAGACTTTGTTAAATTGGAGGTTGATGGATGGGTTGGCTTGCATTAGGGCGGCGTCATGGGCATGCCGTTGATCACTAGGACGTTGGATAAGGTAAATGTTTTGCCTTGTGGTGTTTTGATCCTCATTTTGCCCATTGTAGTGGCCGTTGTGCTTTTCCTGTTGGCTACGACGGCGCGGCGTTCGCAGGGTTGCGTGTCGTGGAGTTGGTGCGGCATCCCGGTCATGTGCGATGACGCTCCTGAGTCCACGATGATTTGGTGGATCATGGAGTCGTTGTTGTCGCTGGCTGTGGTGTTGGCAGCTATCTCGATAGCCGCGTGGCTGCTGTCGCTGATATCTTCTGGCCGAGGGTAGAATGGCGGGTGCGTGGTGCATGTGACGTCTTGGAACGGATTTTGGTACAATGGTGGGAACATGGATTTATCCGGGGCGCGTTCAAGGCGTAATAGGCGGTATTCAGTCTACTCCGTTTGGGGGTACGTTCACTGGAAACGAGATGTAGGCCGACGGGTACTGCTATTTTTTGTATCGGGCGCCCGCGTAGGTTGTGGGTAAGGACTTGAATGGAAAACCGCTCTCATCGTAATTGGTGACTAGGAACGGGTGAGTCATCCACCGCGGGTACACGGGCGAGCCATTGGACAGGAAGTTGGTGAGCATGGCGCTCTCCAAGTCTATCGGGCTGAAGAACATGACGTGGATGCGTTCGCCGTAGACCGCGATTTCGCGCGTCGGGCGATTTTTCCAGTCCCAGGTAAGGTTTTCGAACGTTGGTTTGGTGATTGGCGCCGCGTTCGTTGGTGCGCTTGGTAGTTGAGGCGGAGGTGTTGTTTCGGGTGACTCAGGGTCGCTGTTTTCAGCGATGTTATGTGTGACTTCCATCGCCGAGAACAAGTAGGCGACGTTGGACGATGATTGTTCTTGGTTGGCGGCATGGGCACTGCGATTGTTGCGGTCGTGGTTGCGGCCGGCGTGGGTGCCTTCTTCTCGGGCCTTCTTGCGGCAGTCGGATTCCCAGTACCCGTTATTGCCACAGTAGTGACAGTTGCCTGTCTTCTTGGGCGGCCCGCCGGATCCGCGTCCGCCTCTACCGCGCCCCCCGCCTCAGTCTCCGTGGCTGCCACGACCGCCGCCGCCGGGTCTTCCTGGGAATGCTGCCAAGGCACGGTCGTCGTTTGCGTGCCCACTTGGGCTGCGTATGATGTTGTTACGGATGGCTGCCTTGTACTCTGCTTCGAGTTCTATACGAACAGCGGGCATTTGAGGGTCGGTGGCCCCGTTCAATAGGCGGTCCACCAGGTGGCAAAAATCCCAAGGCATCAAGGTAAGTAACTTGAGCACTTGGTTGTAGTCGATTTCACGGATTCCGACCTCGTTAAGGCGCACCGTGAGTTGGTGAAATCGGTGGAGGAAGTCCTGCATTGTTTCTTGGCGTGGGTTCCAGTTGAGTTTCGTCCACTCCTTGCTCACTTCGATCTGGTCGACCTTGGTGGTAGGTTGGTGGTACTCCTTGATGTTGGTGTATGCCGTGAGGCGTTAACCACTCCGTCGATATGACGGTATTGACTTGGGTCCAGTGTTTCGATTAGGATCCCAAGGGCTTTTTGGCTGTCCTCTACCGCCGTGTTCGTTGACGTGATGGTTGTGAGCAGCCCCTTCGCCATGAGGCGGCCTTTGAAATAAGTCATCCAAGTGCGGTAGTTGTGCTCGTTGACTTTGATGGCTGTCGCGACGGTGGCCATTCGATCCTTCTTCTAGCTGTCGTGTTGGGCTCATAACCTCTTGAACAAACGTGTGTTTAGACTGGCGGCGAGGGAGACAGCGGCAAGCGTGTGCAAGCGACTGAGACCAAGAAGGCAAATCTGAAAGTGAATTAGGAGTAGTTAAAGCTAGCTAAAGATGGTGTCCTTCCCAATGTCTACTCTTTGTTTCTACGATGTCATCTATATCTAACTATAGTGCATACTAACTATAGTGCATACTAACATGTATATGTGGAGTGTTTTCAATGTTTCGACCTCTTCAATGTCGACGTGTGTCGTCTCTTGAGATTCATGCAGGGTTCAGACCCGCCGAACAACGGGTCCCACTGTTTCCTCGTAAGCAGTGGTCCTTGGCGGATCTTCAACAAGCAACGCGTGGAGAAGACAAGGAAACCGATTTCAATCGTCAACACTACCGTCGGGTCAACTTCGCATTGCGAAAGCAAAATCGGCCGCCTCTGCTGCGAAGAAGAAGGAGTATCGGCAAAACCAAGCGCGTGAAGAAATCTCAAACTCACCCAGCTGATGAACGACCGTTGGTGGAAGACTTCTTGATGGAGTTTGTTCCCGTTCAGCCCCCGATCATACGAGAAGGCCCTGCGATGAGCCGTGAAGAGATGACTGCTTTGGACGTTGAGCTCAACCCGCGTCCATTTCAGCCATTGGACGATCCGGAGGCACTATAAGATGAAATTGATTTCGTCGAGGGAGTGCTCGACGACATCGACCTTCATCCGACGCTCGAGCCGTATCCTTTTCAACCACTGGAAGAATCTACGGCCATTCATCGGGAGGTTCAATTCATCGAGGAGCTCCACGACATCGACCTTGCCGAAGATCCACCGTTCCTTTCTCAAGATCCCGTTCAAGATGCGATTCAAGTGCGGCCTCCACGCCGAAACCCTATGAATTACGTCGGACGGCAATCGTACGAAGTGTTTGAGGAAAGTGGTCACACGCTGCTGCAAGTTCCTGGGAAAACGAAGACATGCCCGCACTGCCGAGCAAAGTTGACACCCCACGACTACAAGAACCTGCCCTGTTGTTCGAAGAGCAAGGTCAAGATGGATCCTTACGTTTTCCCCGACTCGCCAGAAATGCAAGATCTTTTCAAGCAGCGCAACTTCATCGAGCACATCCTCAGTACAACGCTCAGTTCAACTTCACTTCCATTGGAACCAACGAGGTCAAGCACAACGGCAGCGGTCCCAAGACGTATTGCATTCAAGGCCAGCTGAACCACAACATTGGTCCGTTGCAGCCCAGCCTGAACAGAAGTAGAAACCTGCGGCAACCAAGTTTTGCCCAAATCTACATGCACAGCAGCGAGGAGAAACTTCAACACCGACGAAACATGTTTCCAGCTTTCAGTTCGCGGTACACTGCCACGATACAGCGAGTGATGGATCTCCACAACCCATTGGCGAGAACGTATGTCACAGCTAAAGAGCGAAAGCGGACGGGACTTCGGGGAGCAATCTTGACGCCATCCGACGAACGCTTGGCATATCAGAAGTCTCGTGCAGACTCTGGAGATTCGTTCGACCGCACAAGTGCCAAATTGGCCCTCGCATACGCAGGTACATTCTCACTGCAATGACAAAGACTTTGCATGTGGTATTAGTGGTCAAACGGCATATGAAATGACTGCGTGTTATTTATAGTGTCTATCTGCATCTGAACATGAGAAATGACCGGTCAAAACTACATGTGAAACGACTGCATGTAATTTGAAGGATCAATCAGCGTGTTGAATGACATGTAGAAACGACTGCTTATAATTTGAAGGGTCAAACAGCGTGTTAAATGACAGATCAACCTGCATATGACGGGTCCATCTGCATGTGTAATGTCGTGCCCATCTGCATATGAAATGAAGGGTCCATCGGCATGTGAAAGAGCGTATTACAATAACTTTGATTTAATACAACATGTAGGAGCATTTCGATACTTAACGAATGAAGCAACGCTATCTCGTGCTCGCTGGGTTACGTGTGCCTTTCCCAGCGCAACTTTCGACAACGTCACCTCCAACCTTGGTGAAGCTGCGAACAGTTGGCTTGGCACAGAATTGCGCTCGTCCGATGCAGTGCACTACACTTTATGTTCATGTTGCAATTACTTGAGAATGTCAACACGAGAAGGTGAGGTACTGTAGTTGATGTGATTCTCTAGTAGAGGACTATATATATTCCTTCAAAATTAAAGACAATTACATACTGCTTACTTCAAAGTAGAATTAAGAGCGAGCGTTGGCCGGACGACGCGATCACCCCCTACCATTTCAAGGCGTACAACAAGACGAACATTGCATCAAAATCAGTCAAGGTAGACTATACAAAGGCATGACGTAAGCATAGTATTTGTTCACTGTTAATAGCTGCACGAATACGCCCCTGGAAAGACGTTCCTTGCTCTGTACGACTCTCCTAAGTCTGAAAATCGCCATTTGTGGCGAAACGTGGACCTTCTTGCCAAAACTTGCGATATTGTCGAATGTGGTTCGACCGCAAAAGCCCTTGCATTCACGCGATCGCGTGCGTGAATTCCGTTTCACTGGATCCCAGCCTGGCCTTCGACATTGCTTCCGCGGCAGCTAGTACAAGAATATTTATGCCGAGTTCCTCACACCCGTTCCACCTCTGGATCTTGTTCCCAACACCGCGTCGTTGGCGCCAGCTCCCATCATTGGCGAATACCCGTTAACTAAACCAGGTCCAAAGCAAAAGAAACGTAAGCGATCCAAGGGCATGGTACGATAACCAGTGTTTTGGTAAATACACTCCATGCATAATACACACTAAATGTATAATTTGTTTGTCCCTCAGACACATAAATTTAATTATGCAATTTGATCAGCCGGTAAATTGACGCGTCATATGCAGCTAGCAAGTCGACAGGTCAAATCTGGAATATTTGTACATCCGGATGATGTTGTGCCAGGGTCAACAAATCGACATATTCTATGGACGGCAAGGAAAGCGCCGAGAGCAAAGATAGCGAGAGCACTACTGACTTTGTCATGTGTCTGAAAGATGATTGTATGTCCATCCATAGACGGAGACAGCACATAGATCATGTGAACAACTTCCACAAGGCACTGGAGGTTCAAACCCGTCAGAATCTTACGGGTACATCATGTTTCATTAAACATGCTCATGAACAATTCGTTGTTAGACGAGGAAGCTGCGAATTGGAAGGCGAAGTCTCGTACTGACCAGCGACAGTGGCCCGTCAAATGCATGCGTACCAGAGCGCTCTCTCTGAAAAGCAAATTGTTTTGGAGAACAACTTGTTGCTTACTAGTAAACGCATCTGCACCATCTTGGTATTCCCTCTTCCTTTCAAACGCCCGGTGTGCCATGAGTATTTTGCACGTTTTCATTATTGATTTTGTTTATCTCTTACTTCTTCACTTTCATTTCTATACAACCATGATGTAGTTGCAGTATCAAACATGCCGTTGGGGTGTGGAACACCAGGTACCCTCAAATCCGCGTACACACTACGAATATCTTATATGTTTTACATGTTGTAACCCATCCTGACCGTCTCGGCAACTCATTCGACGCAGGTACGATGAAATCCGCAGAGTAACTAGTATTCGTTTCAAATATATTCGTATTTCTACCTTGTAACTGTGTATGCCTTTTCTGCTCTATGCATAAATTTGATTTGTGCCCATGCACTGTCTATTTGCAGGAGCGAATGCACCGTCAACTGCCGTGTCGGCCTCGACAACACATCCTGCATCAGGTATGATCAAATCTGAAAAATATACTATGGATTATGTGTATGGGCATTAAGTACTGTACAAAAGCAATAACATCAACAACTGGACAGACTCAAGGTACGACAATAAGTCATTCCTATTTAAAGTCTAGATTTTGTAGACACGACGAAGCGCGCAAAGGGTCGAAAAGCCGGTAGAATATTTTCATCCGTTCATTGGGTGACTGCCAAAAATCTCGCAAATCAAAATATCTTCCGGATTTATCTGAGACATTTTTCAAATAAAAGTGCGCACGCAAATTTGTACAGACCGTTTTATCGTCTGTACAAAACGCATCATTTGAGAGCCATCAACTCGCATCGACATCGTGACAAATAATACTTCAAAATATGGATTTCCACAAGTATTATACTTGGTTGGACGTAGGAAGTCTGCATAATTCGTTTATCCCCATGGCGAAGAAGGCAGGTCGAGGCAAGTCGTGGTGTCCATCATCCATCGACCTTCTCCTAGACACCACCCTCGATATGTTGCCATTAGGTAAGAATGGATGAGAGAAGGTTGAGAGTCGCTTTAACCGTTTGACTGAGACGAAGTTACTCGCCGTGCGCGACGTGGACGTCCTCAAGAGGAAGTTCATCCTCCTCAAGAATCACGCGAAACCAACGGGTGACCCCGAATGTCCCGTCGAGGTGAAGCGAGCGAAGCGCATTCAGCGTGAGATCGACCAGTCGGTCTCGGTGATGCCACTGGATGGCGGTGGCGACGAAGATGAAAACGACGACGGTAAAAAATCTTACATATGGACGAGCGGTCGGCAAAGCGAGCAGAAAGCCGGATTGAGCGTCAAGAAAAGTACGACCGGGAGCGCGAAGAGCGTGATGCGAGACTTGAAGAACTACACCTTCTTCTGATGGGGAAGATGATGGGACAGCACCAAAAGTAATTCCACAAAAATTCATCTCTTGGCGACTTCGGGTCATGCATTTTCAACTGTACTAAATTGCATATATTATACGTAACTATGCGTCACAATAATCATGTTCGGTGCAAATTATCTTACCTTAAAAGCACTTACAAACAAATATATCCGCACAAAATATGGAATTAACTAGGCAAAATATTGTGATTAGTTTTGTACTTACAAATTCGCCCAAAAAGCTTAAAAATGTGCCAAACTTTTAGGTACATCTTTGACACATCAGTGATCATGGTATACAAATGCTAAGTATAAAGGCATCATATGTGAATCCTTAATTTGCATTTATCTTCTAAGTGTAATATGACTAAGCACCGAATACATTCTTTATTTGGCTAAGTCCCGTCCGACGAACGCGGAAATTGTACAGGCGAAACATGTTCGACAGACGTTGGCCTCGTAGCACTGGATTGTAGGGTAGAGGTAGCATCAATTGACGATATACTTTCCCCGTTGCCCCCATGCCCCATTCTGCAGCTTGGCGAAATGACGTGATGCAATCACTCATAGATTGTAAGGCCAGGCGGTTTGCCGTTGGCTGCCGCTCGAGGTCACCTTGTTTTAGCGGAGTGACGATCCTCCCTGCACAAGGCCCAGACACAGGGAACGCCGAATCGGACGCCACTTTCATTCCGACGCTACATAGCGGCCGTCTGCCAGCCGGGCTTAAAGTTGGCGACTCACTTCGCCATCATTCCAAGAACCAGGGCAGTTGTGCCGCGCCCAGATTATCGTCCCATCAACGCCGAAGCACAGGCAACCCGTTACGAAGACGGAATGAAGCCACCCTACTCGTACTATTAATTGATTGATTTATATACATTGACGTTACCGACCATTGAATTGAGCATTTTGGAGATCAATGTTACTCGGACTTTGGACCCGATAATTTTTACCATCCACAAATGCAAACACGCCTTCAACGAGGGGCTCCTTGGCATTGGTCAAAGTTGCCCAGTGCTGTTGTTGCCGAGTCGTTGGCCACCGTACCGCGGCGTCTGCGATTCGGTTTAGAGAACGCCCCACTGCACGCTCGGCATTGGATAACACGCGTGCGAAAGTGCTTGGGGATACCCCAAAGAGGTCCTGCAGGGTCTTGTGTTCAACGGCTGCCGTATAGAAGTGGAGGGTCATGGCTAGAACAGCATGCTTGTGCTGGATCCTCGGAGGGCGTCCTCGTCGACCTGGACCGGACAACACTGTGTACTCTTGGTCAAATACTTGTAGCAAATCATCGAAGTCGTCCGGGGGCAGAGAGACCGTGGTGAGGAACGACGGGGTGTTGCGGGAACGGTACATTGTGTACCAAGCTGCGTCATGCAGTGCCGCCGACTCGACGGCATTGCGTTCACGAAGTATGCCTCGTAGGCGAAGTATTTCCAATCGTCGTTGTCGGCGACGATGTCGTTGGCGTGAGAAGAGTAGGGCCGCTACGCTAGCGGAAACCATGTCAATGATGCATTCCCATGGACCAATGAGTTTTAACCAATACATTTTGAGTGTGAAAGCTATTTTGTCCAATTAAATCAATTAGTGAATTGTGCTTTGCGAGAATATTGGAGGCACCAACGATTCTTCTGGATTGGCCACACAGTCATGGGTTAAAAAAATATACGTTATCCGGACTCGCAAATATGAATGTGAGAGGCACTTGCGAGATTTTTGGCAGTCACCCATTGTGAGACGTATGCGTAGGTAAGAGACAACAAGTCGACGAAGCGATTGCGGCGGCCCTTCAAGTTGCGTGGGCAGCCGAACAACGGCGCGGAAACCTTCTCGCGCGCAAGTAGATTATTAACTTTGGACTAGTATATAGCATGCATTGTAGTTTATCGTCAAGACTGTACCCTTCGTATTGTAGTATATTCGGCATATACCATTTGGCATGTACATCAATCAGTATATACTATAGGCTTAATACTACTAGTAGTAAATACTACCAACAATGAGTAGTAATACAGTAATAAGCAACGGTAAGGTGTACTATTACTATTAATACTAGTAGTACTTTTCCAGTACAGTGTACTGTACTGTGTACTTCACGCTTGGTTGTACAGTGTACAGTACTACTCTGGTCCGAAATAGTTGCGGCCTTCTTTTTGACTTGATTAAATTATGGGGCTGCAATCCAAAACAACCTATTATTTGTATGTCACTCCAGAAACTAATAAAAGTGGCCAAAAATATAATGTAATTTTATTCAATTGCCAAAAGATCTTGTTCTTGAGAATTCAGAAGTGCTTCCATGGAAGCCTCTTCCCCAAGTCGAAAGTTCAAGTGGATTAAGGCACTCTCGTAGTTATACGCATCACACTCAACGTTGAAGGTCGTGAAGTCCGCTATCGACGCATCCTTCTTCATGTGAGGGAGCTTATAATCATTGCTACCGTGTATTTCGATGCATTTCTCCATCACCTTTTGAAGTGTAATGAAAGTTTTTGACACCGTGTCCACGGGCAATTCATAAA